TTATATCAAACATAGCACTTTTTTGTGCTATGGTACTTCAAATGCCACTGAGGAAATAATTAAACTATGATAAAATATTTTATAAAATTTAAAGCTACAATGGTTGCCAAAGAAGTGGACGATGGCTTTTTTTCATTTTCGAAGTCATAACGCTCCAGGAGCCCTTCAAACTTACCTGTTTTTGGCGCATATCTTTTTTGGACATCAAACAGATTTATTGCAATCTAATAACATGTATTGTTTGGAATAGATATACATTGCGATGTATTAAATTTTCACAATGATCTTGCTTTGGTTTCTTTATAGGTGTAGAGCTTAGCTAATTTTAAAAACAATTAAAAACTGTTTGGGTGTTTTGTTGCGCTACCTGGCGGATGGCAGACAAACTGCTGATTTCTAGTGTTCAAAAAATTTCCGAGAGCGGCGTTGGCGTCTGTATCATCATCAATCTCTGTGTCTTTTTACCTTCACATTTAAAAAATATATTGGAAGATTTACTATGAATAAATGAATGGTTTAAGTACTGGGCTAGGTTAATAAATCTAAGACAAATAATTACACACGCGTAGCGTGATAAAATGTGTTCATTATTCGATATGATTGAAATCAATAAACAATAAAGACAAAGATGAAAATAATACACCCGAGTTCATTTCATGCCTAGAGTCGAAAGAGAAAGAAGAAGGTACCGAAGAGATCGGACGCGTTTTTCTTAGGCTCCTGATATTAGGCCTAGCACCTAATACACCCCGTCTTGAAAGTCTGGGGGGCCGGTTGTCGAAAGACAATGATGCCGGCTCCTCTGGACAACCAGGAAGAAGCGGCCAAGACTTCGAGCCCTCAAGACCAGCAATTAGAAACCATGGACATGGACACGAGAAACCTCGCCGGGCCAAGCGCCGGACCCGCCGCTGTCACGACGGGACCGGCAAGTTCGACCCCAGCAAAACCTATGCTAGTCATGACACCAGTCATCGAGCTGCCCACTGTATTCCATTTCGGTGAGCAAGCCACTTCTTCACCAGAGAACTCAGCACCGACTGTTGAGCAGGCTCTACGAACTTTACTTTCGAGCATTTCGAAGGAAAGCCTTGTAGACATTTTCAAAAGCATTTTAGGAGAGACTCACAACATTGTTCCTGTTGCCGAAAAGCAACAGAAGAAGAAAACGAAAGCCAAAAAGGCCAACGAGAAGGCGTCGACCGTCCCTACACACACGCCTGCAGGCGCTACGTCAAATATTTCTCCGCAAAGTCAGCCCCACGACACGACGGGGGATAGGACGTCGCAGCCAAGAGCTGCAGCTGTGGTAGAGGAAGCGCCCATGCTCCAAGACAACGGAGATCCTTGGATAACCGTAACACACAAGAAAAAAGGCAAACGGGCACGGGGGAACCCGAATGCGCAAGCAATAACGGGGGTTGTCGCCAAGCCCCAAAAGCGTCGGCAAATCGAGTATAAGATCCGCCTGACAAGATCACGCACTTCGATCAAGCCGCCCATTCCAAGACTGAAAGTGCTTCTAAACAGCACACATGCACCAACAACATACACCATGTACCTAATAGAAAAGGCCAATACCATCTCGGTCAGGACTGACTCGGAGGCATTGGCGGCCGTCCTAGAGAAGATCGTCGAGGTCGACATCGAGGGCAAGAAAATACCCGTTCAAGTCTTTCGCACTTACGGCGCAACCTATTGCAAGGGAGTAATTTACGACATTCACACCCTACAAGAAGATCCCCAAGACGAGGTACTCAACCTTGAACTGGAATCGGAGAAGGTGCGCGTGGTGGCCGCCCGACGTCTGGGCAAGACCAACACCGCAATGTTAACCTTCGACGGAGACAAGCCACCGCGATCCGTCTTGTACGGAAGGCGGTACATGCGAGTGTTCCCGTACATGCCAAAAGCAGTTACCTGCGGTAACTGCCACCGCTTGGGGCATAAGCCGGACATTTGCCCGACTGCTACGGTCTGCGCAACGTGCGGCAACACGCATAGCGAAAACCAAGTGGGATGCCCAACTCCGAACGCCCTGTTCTGCCAAGGGTGTAAGAAGGCTGGGCACATAGGCACAAACCGTGCCTGCCCCACATGGCAAGAAACCAACAAACGGATGAGAGAACAAGTCAGGAGCTATAAGGAACAGCACAAGCTGCAGCAAAAGCGAGAGGTTGCTTCCAGGGAGATCAGGATCCCGGTCCCGCCGAGCGCCTCACAACTCTGGGCTGACAGGCTCCGTAAGGGACTCGACCCGGCAGCACCCCCAGCAGAGCAGAACACCTACGCTTCCCTGAAAGCAGAATTGGATAGGCTGAAGGCCACGGTTCAAACGCTGCAAGAAGAAAACAGACAATACAAAGCTTCCTTCAACCAATGGAAGACACTCGCCAGCAGCATATGTGGCATTAAAGCATAATCAAGGTGCTTCAGTGGAATTGCCGAGGGCTTCGCAGTCGAGTGGCGGAGCTCAGAGCAAGATTCCAAGACAAACCCGACGAGAAGCCCGACGTCCTGCTTCTGCAGGAAGCCAACGCACACGACATTAACCTACGAGGATTTATTCTCTACTCAAGCCCATCGATCTCTAATAATCGTCCGGGACAGAGCGCCGACCCTCCGGGGAAAGCCCTCCCCGGTCCAAATGCCCACAGAGCACCCACAGAGAATTTGTGTGGGGTCCTACATAGCTCTATGGGACACCTGTGGGTCTCTGTAGGACTCCCAAAATCCTTGTGGGGATGGGGCTGTGGGTCTATGGGACATGTGGGAAACTCTGTGGGTTGCTTTCTGTAACCCACACAGCCTGTGGGGATAGGGCTGTGGGTCTACGAGACATGTGGGAGGCTGTGCGGGTTACTTTTTGTAACCGACACATCCTGCGGGTATAGTACTAGTTTCTATGGGACATTGTGTCGATGGCTTTAGGTAATTCACGCCATGTGATCAGGACCATGGGCTTTATGAGACAAGCGGGACACTGTGTGGGAGACTGTAGGTATCCTACACATACTCAGTGAGCACTCTAAGAAGTCTGTGGGAAACCTTCAGGGACCCTATGTACTAGTCATGTTGCTGAAAATGTGAAAAAGTACTCAGCCCTAGGCAGCTTGCATTTTAGTATGCGACAGTAAGCTAAAACAGCTGCTTTCTTACGTTAACTCATGCCCACCAGCACATATGCTTTTGAGAAGAAACTATATATACATTACAGAATCTTTCGCTCATGCGTCACAGCTCATTCTGACAGTTTTTCTTTAGTCAACATTACTCTGAAGTTGCCAGTCTTGTGTTCTGGATTGTTCTGGCCTTATCAGACATATGTTCTGCGTTAATATGAGTACTCACAGGTTGTCATTAGTAACAACAGGTATAAATAGGCAGTTCTGAGGAAAACATGCACAATGAGGACTTGACTGGACTCTGTATGTTTATTTTATATGCAGATCCAATGGCCATAGAATGAGACAAGAAAAACAAGTACAATAACAGCTCTACATGACAAAACAATCATTCCACGGCAGGATGGCAACTGAATCTAACATAAAGGCAGTTTCTCAAACCACAGAATATGACATTCGACTGCAAAGCGAATAGAAGGACAAATAGTTTTCTTTGAATGAGATGCATATATCTATATTACACATATTATCAGATACCATATTTCAAATTTGCACTGTAATGACTAAGTGTCAGTGAAGCCCATGTGTTCACAATATTCATAAAATACTACAAGAATTCACGTTTCAGAGAAGTGTTGCATAAAGTTGAGTGAGGGGGGTATAAGAGAACATTGAAAGCATGCACACAAGTATGCATCAAAGTATGGCATTCAAATGGGGAATGGGTGTCCAAGTGTGTTGCCTCACTGCAGCTTGGAGAATGAGAAGGGAAAGCATGCATTGCAGAAGCCAGGGATTCTGGGCTCAAAATCCTCTCTCAATATTAAAAGCATAAATAGATTATACAGCAGAATTTTTTCTCAAAATGAGCTAAGTCCACAAACCGTAACTAAGCCAATTTTTGCTAAAATTTGGAAAACGTGTGGGTGTGCATCGTTCCCAAAAATTGCAGCAAGCTGAAATCAGTCATAATATGCAAGGAAAACCATGGTGCAGGTGGCTGCATTATAGGACTAGTTAAAAGCTAATTTTATAAGCAAACATTCTCACGTTATCTCAGTTTCGCTTCACATAAGTTTGGCCCTTAGAAAAAAAAAAAAAAAAAACTCCTCAAATATGCATGGAACAGGATGTCTACCAACCTGGAAAACCTGGAATTTTCAGGGAATTTCAAATCATCTGGAAAAGTCTGGGAGTTATCAGGAAAACCGTCTGAAAGGTGGTTAAATAAGGGAAAATGACCATTGAAAGTGGCACGGCGGTGCAGAATGAAGTGCAACGGTTGCACATCGGCACACCTATATGCTAAATAATGTTGCTGAAATGCCATCCTTCGACCCACAAACTGTCAGGGAAAAACCTGAAACAGTCAGGGAATTTAAATTCAGTAATTTGATAAACACCCTGATGGAAGCGCAACGGCATTAGGAGGAATTGGTGACCAAGTGTGTTAACGTGCCACAGCACTGGACATGTGGAGGGAAAGCTTGCACTGGAGAAGCAAGGGATTCTGGGCTACATCCACCTACCATTGAAAGTATAAATATAAATGGAAGCTCAATGGCATTTAAAGAGAAGGATCTGTGGTCAAGTGTGTTAATGCATCAAAGCTCGGAGGACCTGGGGCAAACAATATCAGTACACAAATTCCCCAAGATGCAACCGAAACACTAAAACTGGGAATTGCTAGAGTATTTACGACATCTTGAAAAGTCAGAATAATCGGGAAAACCACCAAGCAGCTAGCTGAAGTCGGGAAAAACAGCCAGTTTAAGTGGCATGGTGGCATGCAACGAAGCACCACGGTGCATCGGCATACCCGCACTGAACATAATGTAAAATACCAAGCAAGTGCCCACTCAAACTTTGGAGATAATAGCAAAAAAAGCGGATGGGCCCCTCTCCGCTCATCAGTTTTACATATAAATGTACTCTCCGTATTTTCTCAGATCCTACAAATTTGGGAATGGGCGCTTAGTGTGGTGTGGGCGGACGCACGGTATTCTACCGTAGTCAGCGAAAACTTGGAAAAGTCAGAGAATTTGAAAGAAGCAATTCAGAAGGCACCCTGAACAAGCAGACAAATTAAAAATAAAACTGGTAACCTATTAAGACTGCAGCCCAGCCTGCATCAGTTAATTTCCAGAAGATTGGGAACCTTACAAACAAACGAAGAGTTCTCGACATCCACTCGCACTGCCTTCCTCAAAAGTGCTGAAACAGCGACCATTTCGAGGGAAGAAAACTCCCCAACTGCAATATGGGGAGCACCACAAAATGCTGCATCCTCAACTTCGAGTACCTCCACAATTAAACCGACTTCCTGTGCACTGTTAAGCCTGTAAGAAAAAATCGAACGAATAATGCCGAACTTTTCGCCTTGAAGAACTACAACAGTGTCATCGCTTCTTTGAGGACGTGAGTATTGAGCTGAATGGTACACAACTCCTCCAGCGATGAATCTTAAGAAGACTGAAAGACATGAAGGAACTGTACCAAGGGCAGTGATAATGCATCGTTTTTCGGCATTACTGAACTTGGACGGCTGTGCTTGGCCCAAAAGAGTTACGCCAGAGACTGTGTCCCCCGAGTGGCACCTTTTCTCATCCTTGAAAAATGCAAGGGATCTCTTCATTACATCCGTTCCTTTAGTTAAGACATAAAAATTTACAGACTGTTTAAGTATGGCTTTGTGTAACACCTGCATAGCTACTCCACGGTTGCCTTTGATAGATTTAACCAAAACGCCATTGTACGACTCAAAGCAGAAGGCCGAATGGGTCCACAAAGGCCCCCAACGAAAAACATCCTTTGCCAAGTGCTGGAGTAAGTGGACGTTGAAAACCATGTTGATGTCCCCATATAGCATATTGTATTTGATCACAAATTCCGTTAACAAAATTTGGGCCATGTTGATGTCGTCCCCTGTAAGTGTGTCCTGAATTAGGCAAAAAATGGAGTGTACAAGAAGAGCGAGGTGCCCAAGGAAGGGTTCTGGCAAAATGCCATAGAGGACCGGCAACGAATAATACAGAAGCCACGACCGGTACTCTTGTGCCTTCCAAAGCTTTCGTTCACTGACCCCCCGGGGAAACCTGCCGAGCTTAGAAGGAGGCTTGATGGCCTTCATTCTGCGATCTACTAGCCTCACGGTTGCCGGATCTCCAAGATAAAACCCCCCTCCGGTGTTGCTGTCGAACCACAAGCTCAAAAGTGTACGAGACACGCCGAGGAGGACGGCATGCATGTAGTCTGGAACAAAGGATTCAATAACGTTAAAAAATGGCAAGTTGAGCAATGCAGACGGACCCTTAAACCCTCTGCAAATAACACCATGTGATGCAGCTTCACGCATGTCACGGATTGCACTTTTCGATTGTCTGTCATCAGCTACCTCTGCAGAGACCGTATAGCGAATTGACCTGTTAACGAGAGATCCAGGGTGCAGGCACCAACCGCAACCAAAATAAGAATTGAATTGCATCATATTTTGTAACAAAGGACGGGCCACCGAATCCACACTGCAGCATACTGCGAAAGCCTTACTTAGCACCTCAGTGCCGTTGCGCTTCCATACAAACCCCTGATCACACAGAACCTTACACTGTTGCACAAAGCTTTTCATGTACAGCTCCATTGGAGGGTGATTCTTTCCGAACCACACACTAGAAAGGATGACATTCCTAAACCTCTCAAAGACCGGGAGTTCATTTATAATAAGTTGAAGTGGCCAGATAGAGCAATTTTTACTTTTAAAGACTGGGCACCCATCTGTGTTAAAGGTAAAAGAAATGTTATTGGGATTTCCGAGAACTGAGAATTTTTTACATAAGTCCTTGTACATATGTCCATCACATATGTCAGAAAATGTGTTGTTTGGTCGATTAAACCTTGTAGTTAAGAAGCTGTGATCAGAAAAACTCTCTAGAACACTTTTCAGCTGAGACGCTAATGAGGCTGTCAAAAAAAAACCAGATCCATCAGATTTCCTAACGTCAAACAACTTTTTACAAATCCGGCACTTCTGTATGTCCTTCTGAACAGTGGAGGTCAATTCAACAGAACAAGATAAACAATAATAAACGAGATCGAAATTCTTACAGAAGTTTAGAGACTTCTCAAACATATAGAGGGAGCTAGGCACAACCGGCCTTCCAAACAAGGTGTTTACCAGAAACAAGGCGTCCTTCAACCCAGTCATTGAAAGCCCGCTGCGGATTACAAACAAAATAATCAAAATGAGGGCTTCCGCTTTAGTCACCCCCCCACTACAAACACGTTCATCATTGGATGGCACACTTCCTTCCATTCCACAGACAGGCTCCTCATCGGAGGCGTCATGGAATGTGTCGTCTTCACTTGACTCTTCTGAATCGAAGTCGTCTTCTGAAGATTCAGACAAGGAGGAATCCTGTGCAACAAAAATGACATGAATTTATAAAGCCAAATATAGCACAATTTCACAAAATCAACAAACAGTCCTTGCTTTAGAGGACACTGCTATACCAGAAATGTGCAATCAAACAGAGCAATAGACGATTAGCAAAATTCCCAAGCACCGAGGAGAGTGCAGTGAATGTAGCCACACGCACCCCAGAAATCTTTGCAGGTGCCTTTTAAGAAGGGAGAGGCATGTTCAATAGTTCAATTTGCTGGTTTCTCTAAAAAAAAATCTGGAAATGAAGATGCATTTTCAGCCACTTTCTTTTGAAAATGCTCCAACTTTTTACTAATTAATACCTCATTACCTAATTAGGTCAGAAACACTACTACAGCAAGTTTAACTGCTTTCTGTTTATACACGCACTGTTTTTCTTGGTTTCAAATTCAACATAAACCAGCCATAAATAAGAAATGTTACAAAAAGCCTTTTTGTTTGGGTTTTAACTTTTTAACTACACTCACCGTTGTGTTGTCCACCGGGTCATCTGGCTGGGTGCTGGAGTACTCAGTTTCCTGAGACTGAAAACAAAAACTTCCAATGTAAGCAGGGTGCACATATAACCTCCATGTACATCATATAAATCTCCAATGAAGACTTTCTTGGATAACAACATAAATTGAGAGCACGAAACTTTCCAGAATGAATTTACGGCTGACAAAGATATCCGAATTTCAGTATTAATGCATGTCTGCCCATGTGTTTGACACCGTGTCTAACATATCAGGGAATATATTGTGTGCCAATAACTGAGCAAGTGAAAATATCAAAGGGGCACTAAGAGGTTATTGAGAGTGTCTATCCATAGTGATAACTCATTCTATTTAATCTAAGCATCCTAAAAATCTAAAGATCACAACCATGCCGAGCCTATTTTCCTATTAAGAATGCGATCAGTTTGCGAAATGCCCCTTTTTTTTAATTTTTGCTGAACACAAAGGGGTGGTGCCAGTGCATTTGAACAAAGCTGAATGACAAAGGTGCTAGTCAGCCAATCATGAGTGATGGTTCCCTCGCAGATTGACCCAAACAGGAAGTCAACACGCAGGCATATTAGAGCGTTAATGTTCCACAGACCATAAGAAATTCCAGACGGAACCCACTGGCACGAGAAAGAAAATGTCTTCCACAAGTGTTGCAAGTGAATTTTTCGGGAAGCAGACGAGCAGACACATCGCTCCCGCACAAAAAGGCAAGGGGAAACTTAGTTTGCAGCAGTGTCTAAATAGCGAACACATGTTAACTTGCACCCCCCTACTACATAATACAACAAAAACATGCATCTTAAAAAAAAGTCTTCAGTGCCCTTTTAATCACTTCATGAGTTAATTATAAAAGGTTGCTTTTAGCCTTCAAAAATATTACAAAGCAATATGGTTACCATTTTAGTGATATGAGAAGGCTATTGTGGACTGCTTGTGCGTAGATTTAGTAGGATATGATGTGATGCGTAGATTTTCTGTGTGATGCATAGATTCAGTAGGAGTGATTTGGCGTGCGTTTCCACAAACACCCTGTATAACCACCACCATGAATGCTGCGGGGACGCATGGAATCACTAGAGCATAGTTATGCAGGTGGCCACATTTGCCCTCACTCTAAATGCGCCAAGAGTTGATGACCAAGATGCCGAGCATCAACAAAATGTGGATGCAAGGGGAACCAATTCCTGTTATGTGATGCCAAAGCCACTTTTGCTGCCTATATTTGCAGGGTCAGTAGGGTCCGACTCATCTGGGGCTCTCAGCATTAACAAGATACCACTTTTATCATCAGTGCCCAAAGGTGCACTTTTAAATGAGCCAATTCTGAAAAATACGTACTAGCAGTGGGGCTTGGTTAGAGGTCCCAGGTTCCTGGGAAGCAGATGAGGGTTCCTGGAATAAAAAAAAGTGATTGCTTCACTAAGGGAATCTATTCCATGAAATAGCAAGCACCTTGGTACACACAATATTTGAGGTATCTTGAAAAACTCAAGTGCAATTGAATCCTTCCCACAGTATGGGTTGCCGGGCTTTGCCTGTGCATGCTCTTTGTTCCGGAGGTCTCCAGTTGACGCCGGACTGCCGACTAGAAAAGCATGGCTTTAATATACAGAGCACTCCACTGCGGTCGTCAAATGTGATTGGGAGTGGGATCATGCTCAGTGCCACAAGCCATTCTTCCTTGCAGTGTCTTTTACCTTGAATCTTCTACTTTCGATTGTTGCAATAAGTGCGCCAGGCACGTAGCAGGGGGGAAAGGCGGGGGAGGCAGGCTCCCCCCCCCCCCCCATCTATAGCAAAATTTTCAGTTTTGCTGGGACCTCCTCTCTCCCATCTTTGGCGGTTTACCATGAGCGGGATCCCGCCCTCAAAATAAAATCCTGCCTGTGTGCCTGAAGAGCGCACTTGTCTTGCTAGCAGTGGCGTAACGAGGGTCAGCGGCACCTGCGGCGGTAGTACGCCGCAACACCCTCCGCTCTCGCGTGGCCCGCTGCGACAGCCCCCCGAGCGCTGCACCCAGGGCGGCCGACACCCCCCGTTCCCCCTTGTGACGCCACTGCTTGCTAGAGCTGTTTAATGATCTACTTTTCAATAAAAATCAATGTTAAGTTTTCTCCTCAAATATTTGTTCTCATTTCTATTTTTTTTTTTTTCTTGCATGAAAACAAAAATCGTTACAAATTATTCTTTTTTTGTTTTGGAGTCTAACCAGAACGGAACATTTTTGTATGAAATGAAACTGAAACCAAACAACAAAAATCTTTTTGTTCCAACACCCTGCCTGTCCATATCACAAGAGTGACCAGACTACAACGAACTTCCAAGACCCTAATCAACAGCAGCCCCCAAGCGCGACAACGGTAGAAGGGGGCGAGCACAACAAAGAACCTTGCTGCATCTATTATCGACCTCACCTAATCAGCTTAGCTTAAGAAAAGCGTGACTGGTGTAGCGCTCAACTGTAAAAGAAGTACGCTTTTGCTATTCAGCAAGTCTGTGTGGTGATCCAAAGTGCAATGCCACTCGCCTCCTCACTCGGCTAAAGTGTTTTAAGCATAAAATATATCTTCATATTTCATGTGACCTTGGCTGCTGCGTGAAAAGCAAGGGGACATCAACACATCAAGAAAATGTACTCGTTCCTCTTGATCGAAAGATCTGCATTATCACAAAATGCGCAAAACAGTTGGCAGTGCAGGTGTGCTTGACATGCCTACCAGCATTGGGTAGCTTGCATGAGGTGCTAGCACTGGTGCCACAGGACGCATGTCAGGTAAAATGCATACTAATCTCCAATGTGAGTTTGCAGCCTCATCAGAGCTGCCAAGGGTTTGGCAAGCTAGGCTACTATATGAGGGGAGTATGCTGGCAGCCGAGACAACTGCTTCCTGCTCTCAGCGTGAAACGCCACTCCACTTTTAGAAAATGGTGCTCGGTTGTGGGCGTTTCAGACGCTGGGTCAAGGTGTGCATCTGTTTAGCCATAGTGAGGGTGACCGTGGCTTGTGAGCCACGCTGAAATTGACTGTACAACCTCCTCCGAGTTCGCCCGAAAGGGCTCTGTGGCCAGGCAGCCAGGCCCGCACCGCTGCACCTCGCCGGGCCGCTGCAAGCACTGCGCCGCCATACAGAGGGCTTCTCTGGTGGTGGTTTTTGCAACCACGCCGCACGAGAGCCAATGGGTGCCTCGTCCCTTGATGATGTGCACCAGCCAATAAGAGAGTAATCCATCAGAGGTTGGCTTCATTTCGCTCCTTTTATAAAGGTGAATTTATCTGCCATTTTGCGTGGCTTTTTGCACGGCTTCAAAGCTGGGATGCTTCAGGTTGTGGTTTCGCTTCGCTCCATTGGGACAGGGGAATTTAGGAGCTGTTTGGCGCAGCTGACGACGTCGGCTCGCTCCATCGGACAGTTAATGCTTTTGCAATAATAAAGATTCAAGGCTGAGGTCTGGTTTTCTCGAGTGCCTAATATCTTGACAAGTCTTACATTAAAAGAACATTTTTTTTTATCAGACCGGCTTGTTTTTTGTTTTGTTTTTTGTGAGAAGATGGGGCGAAAGTATGAATGTACCAAAGGTTTACTTTTGAATTAACCAACCGAAAAAATACATACCAGCAGTGGTGCTTGGTTAGGGGTCCCAGGTACCTGGGAGAGAGGTGAGCTGTCCTGGAATAAAATCGTAACAGCACCTCATTAACCAGAGCGCTGGCTAGGCCAATTTTCGGCCAATTTCGTCATAATCTTTTTTGGGCACGAGCATTTGAACCTCTTGGATAATGTCTACTTTCTTTTGGCCATTTGTATGACTATCAGAGATAGAAGTACTTTGCGATAAAGAGTAACTGCCACATTCATTTGGACAAAGTCTGAAAATTGGTTTATGTCCTCATTGAACCATGCAAACCAAACTTGCACCGGAGGTGTCCAGGGATCCGTGTCATGGCGACCAGAAGTCGCTTAATAAAAACTTGCACAGCTATACACGCTTGCAGGCGTGGCCTTTGGGCACCGCTAAAACCAATGAATAAGCTTCATTTCAGAGTAGCGAAACTAAGGTATGGTGACTCGGCAGTTACTAGTGAAGCAGAGTAGCGGCAGCCATTTTGTTACCTAAGCTTTAGAGGCGTTAGAGTAGCTGCACTAAGTATGGTGGCTAGAGAGATGCTAGTGAAGCAGAGTAGTGGCGAGCATTTGGTTGCCTGGCGGTAAACAGAAAAGAGCATCGATGCATAAAAGCGTACTCCCTTTAGTAACAGTAGGCGCCGCCACCTCGCTTGTTGGGGTGTGCATGGCATGCCCCGAAGCGCACCCCAGCTAGTAAGACGGTGGCACCAACAGGCCATGCTTGTAAGTGTGTACACCAAAGTAGTTTTAGTAATGTTGGCTGGTGCATACACTCGAAGAAAACCAGGCATGCTAATTTCATAAGTGAGAAAATAATATTGAAAGCATGGCCGGGACACTCAAAATCAGGCAATTTAGTATAAAAATGTTCTTGGCTAAGGAACCGCACTGGAATGCTTGACAGGAGCACCCTTGTAGGGGGCTTTAAAGGGACTGTCCAACTATTTTCTCACTTTCGCCATATACTGTATAGAAAGAATCCTTGAGACTCATAATAAGCGAAAAGAGTGTTAGTGCTTCTATCTGCATACTAGCAGAAGTTGAAAAAAAATTAAGAAAAAATATTACTTTTCACCCCCTCAACTCGCATGCCCGATCAAGCGGCCACCCGATCTCGTGACATGCTTTTATGCCCCCCTGTTCGTCACAGCCATGCGCTAGGTTTGGCAATGTAAAGGACACGTGCTCTGCCAGGACATTGTTAGATTTTGGTTATTTCCCTCATCGCAATGATTGGACATAAGCTCTAACCCATATCTCTACACAGACTATCGTTGTTCCAGAGCCTGAGCAGTGTAATGACGCACTGCTCATGCCCAACCCACAAGATGCATTCGGCTGGGGGCCCTTGGGGCTGACGCCATGGCTCCACCACACCCCATTTACAGGGCAGTGGAAGCTACATGCACATGATCGTAGCTTTGAAGCGGGCTTTTCTGGAGCGAGTGCTTGCTTTAGGGGGAAACATTTCTAAGCAAGGAGTGTGGGCTAGCTCGCGCTTATGGCCTTCGCTGTGCTGACACCTGAAGGGTGAACAAGATACCCTGTGACTACGCAACCCTATGGCCCTGGACCGCGTAACCAAGTTTCGCGAAGGCAAGAAGAAAATATATGTTTTACTCTTGAGCTTATACAGCAACAACGAAACTTCTGGCTCAGTGCATTACATTGGACTATACTTGCAGAATGTATGGAAAAGCGAACTGAAAATGTTGCATATCCCCCTTAACGCTCGGCACCCCCTACTTCGTCTCACCCTAGCATGGGCTAACCGGAGAAGCCGTGCTAGCGCGAGACAGCCTGACCCCGACTGACGCTCGCGCCGCACGACTGCAGTGCAGCCGCCCAGGCGTCATTCAAAACGATTATCTCCCTCTTCAGGCACGTGCGGTCAACAATAGGTCATGCTAAGATGAGCCGAACAATAAACCTTTCCATACCAGCGTCTCAGGGAGCATTCATTGCCGTCTCTGTGCATTTCGCACGAGCATTCTCTGGCACGCCCCAGTGTTAAGCACGCGCTCGGTGGTCTGATCGAGCCCATGTGGACTGTGACATTTGTAAACAGCGGCATCGTCTGTAGACGATTCCAATGTTTACAAATGTCACAGTCCAGACGTGCTGACTAACAGTCCAGCCCGTGCGTGTTCGTCGCTTGGAAAAGCGAGCAGAGCACGCGCCATACGCACGAACGCTGCAAATGGCACCGACTTAAGCTCTTTATCGGAAAGATCGATAGACGCTGACGTAAAGCGTCTAACAATGTGCAAGGCAAGCGCGTGCAGCTCGTGTAACTATACTCGCTGCTAGCCCAACTATACTCGCTGCTAGCCCTTGGTAATTGGGAAATTTACCAAATCGTCTATTCATATCTTCCGCAAACGATTCTAACTTACGGGTTCATCGGTTTCATCCGCAGTACCATCGTAGTTTTTCTTCATTTGCTTGCGCCAGGCAGTTGCTTTCGGTAGCACAAATTCATTTCCAGGCTCCAAGTACTGCTTCCGCTTCGTGCCAGACATGTTGACCCGATCAAAGCCTTTAGCTACTCAAATGAAACGAAGAGACACCAGCAATCACCCACAGACCCGGTGACAACAACTGGCACCATGTGCGTACGCCGGATCGGATCGGATTGGATTGGATAACATATGAGACAATTTCTTCTTGGCGGTAAAATTGGTAAAATGCAGGCATTCCAAGCCAGCAAAAGCAGCAAATATTATTTAAACAACCTAGAGCGATAATTTAATCAAAAAATTAAGTATCACAAAATATTTAGTCGACAAAATGGACATTCAGTATACGGGAAGGCATTTACTTCATCGTACGATGTTTTAGCGAACGAAAACGAAACCAGACCAAGTCGTCTGCTTCTTGCGCAGGAGTTGCGTGGACATCAGATCGACGCTGAGCTCCGATTGGCTTTGACTGAAAGATTGTAGGCAGACCTCATTTCTAGGTACCTCGAGGTCTACCCACTATTATCTTTTAATCAGCCAACAAGAGCTCGGCGTTCTGACATCATCGCAACCACTGTACAAGTAGAAGACAAGCTTGCACTCCGCACTGGCGAATGGCTCTGTGCTAGTAGCCTGGCTTGCCGAACCCTTGGCGGTGAACCCTAGGCGTGGCACCCTCGAACTTCATGTTGCATTTATTTACCACGAGGGATATCAAAAGGTGGTCTGTCTTGATGACCGCTTAAGCGGACGAATGACCGCTTAAACGGTCATTCGCGGAAACGTCCATTCGCTCAAAGGATTTCTATTCGCTAAATAGTCGTTCGTTAAAACACCATTCGCTCATATAGTTATGTTATGCACCTCAGTACGCACGAGCTACGTGATCACAAGGGCATGCTAGAGTTGGAAATAGTACGTAACGCATGTTACAATCGAATGCGCCGATAAGTTTATTAAATAATCAATAAAACTATCTGATCAGGTTTCACCTGTTTACTTTCAAATAATTTCTAACGATTATTTCTTAAGTATTCCTGCATGAGCCTTAGCTCCTAGGTTCCGGAGAATGGCCATGGAGATTTCACGCCCTCCATCTCGACATCAAAGCTTCAGCATAATTAAGTATGATCAATCGACTGATTTCTTATCCAAATGAGCTTATTAACAGAAAACGTATTACTGTATGGTGTGCGTTGAGTAGATGGCCTGTATATTTTACTTTATCGGGCGCCATGGTCCCTGTGTGCTCTCCGGCATACGTACCAGGCGGCTCTGCTAGTACTTACATCTTCGCGCTGCGGTCCTACGGTACCCAAAGAGGAAAGACACCGACAGCGTGATAAGCGAACATGTTACTGTGACTTGTGGAGATGTCTACCGAATTCCGAGGATAGGATATATGTGTACAAAAGTGTTTGTCCAGAGCGATCCGATATTACAACCCTAGCTGAGCATGTCGCATTTGATATCTTATTTGTCAATGCAGAATGCTGGGCTAATTGAGATGTCAAGGGCATGGTAGCGCTTTAAGACGAGGACGAAGAAGGGACTAGAAAATTGGGTTGTGTGTATGTTTATACAGCTCGAGCTTGGTCTGCCTCAACGGACGCGACGGGTCTCCCAGCTGTAGATGAGCAATTTAGCCAGTGCAGTACAACCGCTAGCCTGGGGTCTTTAACGTGCACCACGCAGTAGTGATACACGACCGCACGCCGGTACAATGCTCATATCCAGATCGAAACGGCCGGAGGCGGGGATTCAAACCAGGATCCCTGGGTTCTGTAGCGCGAACTTTCGCTCCACGTGCTCCGAGCTGGTGTACGCTAGCCCACTCTGCCCACTCTGCCACAAGCGCTGGCTGCAACTATTCATTCAGTTGCAGTTAGCGCTCGTGCGTGTCTAGGTCTCTTCTTCGTCCTCGTCTAAAAGCGCTACCATGCGCCCTCCATATGTTGACAAGAAAGCACTTTCGAAATCATAGACAGCTACATAAAACGTATAGCTACTTATTTTTGTAAAGCCGGAACCTAAAGCATGTATTTGTAGACATATAGGGAACAGTAATTGGCTCGGTGCCAATCAGTTCATTAAACAGCGTTTCATCGACAAATCGTTTCGTCGACACGAGCAAGCATTCGATTATTTGATGGGCACACCGCAGCATCATTTTCCGCTTCGCCCGATTGGTATATAGCCTCTGGGTTGCTTGCCGTACCTTGGCGGTTCCGAAGAGCCGTTCAGTATAATCTCCTTGATTCAATCGAATTCTCCGGGGCTTCACTCTTGGCTTAGCTGCTCGGGCTCATATATAACCTAATAATGCCTTTTTTTTTTTTTTAACGTGTTTAGGGCACGTTACATTTTGCGGCGCCTGGTACCAGCATAATATCCATATGCTAGTTGTAGGCGCTCGTTTAGGCGTTTAGGTGTTCTTCTGTTTCCTTGACACACGTGGTTACTGTTCGTTGTTGTTCCTCGTGCGGTGCCGGCGTGGCAGTGTCCGGGTATAGAACCCAGACCGGCGGATTTTTTGGGTCGCGCACAAGTCACCTAGCTGTGTTTGGAGATTTGTGTTTGTCCTTTGTCCCTCTTGTGTTCCTTCTCCAGGGATCATTTTCGTCATTCCTGTCCAGTTCGCTCACGAAAAGTGGACAAAATCGCATTTCCAGAATAGGCCCCTGGCTCAGGACCAAAACGACACAAGCCTTTTTTGTTGCGACGCGTAGTTTTCGCAATATCGAATTTGTCCACCTTTCGTGAAACACCCTGTAACCATCTCCGTAAGCCAGTTTTGGATTTTCTGAATATTTGTGCAATTCACAACATACGCTGGTTCAACGTAAAATTAAAAATGGTATTGTAATTAATAAAATTTTCACTGGCACTAGACCTGTGCGCCGGTCAGAAATCGCCGGCGGCGGCGCGCCGGTGTTTGTACCTCCGGCGGCGGCGTGTTGACGGCGCGGGGATCAACGGATCGGCGGCGGCGTGGCGCGGAAGAGGGAAGGGAGGGGAGGGGTGTAAATTAGAAAGTGAGGGGGAGAGAGAAAAGAGTCGTTTGAATTTGGAAAACAAGATGCAAATAACCATAAAAAGAAACACACTTTTTTATTTTATTTTTTTCGGGAGAGCCTTCGCTTTCTGGATATTGCCTTCGCTGTGAAGAGTACGTCCGTTAGAAGAATCAAGTACTTCGGCGTCTTATTTAGTCTCGTTTGTAAGAGAATATGTCGCCGGCTGGCAGCCGCGGCCCAAGATCCTCCGCAAGACGAGGACCGACGACAACAGGTATTTTATCACCGCGTTCCACCTCACCACGCGCTTGTCGCACGCCCCGTACCTAACAAGTCGACCGAGCACGTTATTCGATCACCGACAACGACAGGGTCTTAACCTCTCGTTCGGCTTCGCGGTACTTCGCCGACAGGCGCATTCAGAGCATCCCTAACAGTACTTTACACTCCCGAAGCTAACAGGTTTGTCGAACGCGCCAACGGAAAAATCCTTCCATGTCTGCGCGAAAGAACGTCAACGGCGACATCGACCATTGGAGCGATTACCTCCAGGCAACCAGCTTTCAAGTGAACCAGCAGCCGTACGCCGGACTTCAGACATCACCGTTCGAACTCCTGTTCAACTTTGTCCCACGTAGACCAATGGAATTTTCCCCGCTTCCCGACGAGGTCGGCGACGTCCGCGCGAACTGCGACGCTGCAAACGCGAACCTCGCTTACCTTCACGGCATGAAGCGTTCCTCCTACGATGCAAAACATCGACCAGCTCCATACAGCGTCAGGGACAGGGTATGGTACACGAACGGCCTTCCTACCTCGAAACTTGGCCTGCTTTTTCTCACGGACACTTAAGTCATCACCAACGTGAACAATCAAACCTACACCATTTCCAGGTTTACCCCGCAAGGCACCCTGGATTGCCGCCTAGCTGCCGCACGATAGCTCTTTTTTTTTTTTTTTTTTCACGAACAACCTGCAGCGATTGACGTCGATATCAACCAACTCGCCTTGCACCGCAGCAGATCCTCCGATTACAAGCGCATCACGCCGACGCCGCCCTCCACGATGGCTAGACGCGTAACGAGAGGATCATGACAACATTAACAAAATGTGCGAGGGCGCAAGGATTTTGAACTCGGGAGTGTAAGCAAATACGCTGGCGGGAAAGACCCGTAAGGAGAGCCTCCCCGACTCGACCGGATGGGGGCTCGACTTCGACCCCCGATGCTGGATCTCCGCGTGAAAACGAGAAAGGAGGACCCCTAGAAACACGATGTGACAGGAACAAGCCAGGCGTGTGGATCAAAATAAAATACGTTTGAAAGAAGCCCGAAAACGGACGCGAATATAGCCCTCTTGCATCAAATTATTTCGCAAAGTTTTCATGAAATCGTTTTGCAGTCTACAAAACCGTTCAGTCCGTTATAACGCTTTAAAAACACAGCCGAGCTGGTGAAGAACTTCCATAGTAACGGGAGACACGGAACGATAAAAATAACGGACAAGACAACAAGTCTCAAACACAACTTCTATACACGTTTTCACGTCAAGAACTCTAGTAGAAAGAGTCCGACTCTCCACGAACCATTACTAATTTCCACCTTTATACGGAGAATTAAGATATATGTTGCTGGATTCTACTATATATATTATAAAGACGTGCACGTTCCAGCGCCAAAATCATCACTTTTTTCTCCGACAACCAAATCTCGTAAGACTTTGCGTCGCGTATACGAACATCTTTGTTTCATGTATGTGCTCTCCCCCTCTGTAATGCCTTTGGGCCTTGAGGGTACTTTAATAAATAAATAAATAAATAAATGCTCGAAACTTTCTTTTTTTCTTGAAAAAACGGGTATAGTTTATTTGAACAACGAACGCTCTTATATATATACGTCAAGAGTCAAGACCCTCACCCACCAAAAAATAACTCTTTAAATATACGGTAACACCATACACCCTTTTGTCCCATATAACGCACCCCAAAACTTTAGTTCGACGCACAGACGGCCATACATTTTACGAGGGGCTTGATAACGGAGCGATCTAACTTATTAAATATCTGAAGTACGTATCAAAGACGACAGAAAGAAAATACTGAGGTTTTGCAGTAGGGCCAAGAAAACACCGATTATTATTTTTTTTTTTTTTTTTGTA